CACCACACAGACCCGCTTCCCGTGACCCGACCAAACACCATTGGTCAGAATCCGGGCCTGTTGGGCATCCAACTCCACAAAACCAGCAGATTGGACACAGGGGTACGAACCAACCCACCTCCACCCCGGCCGACGCGACTCATACAAGCCGAGCCACCAAGGTCGCGCCCAGCCCCAACCACAATCGCCACCTCCTTGAAACAACCCGCCACTAACCTGTAGCGCAACGCACAAGCTCCCACCGGTAACCGAGCAGGGAAGAAGCCAACCGACGGCCAGCCACCATAGCCTCTACATGGAAAACCGGACGACGGAACTACGACCTGCGGGAAGGAAGCGGCGAGACCTGCCGACGGTTTGGGAGAACACCGTCGGCGCAGAAGCACCGGCAAGCAAAAAATTGGAGCGGGAAAGCGAAGCTGAAGGTCATCCGCCGGCGAAAGGGCCGGCTAATTGCCGGGGAGGGCACGCGATTGACAAATTTTGACGGGCAGCGACTAGGGTTTTTGGGAGAGAAATTGGGGATCTATTGTATATATTTGCGATGTAAAATGTCAATATGAGCATGTGATTTTAAAATCATTTATATTTACAATTACCTAACATAACTACGTTACCTATATTAAAATCATTTAGCATATTTGTAAATAATTAGTATTGCAAATAAAATTAAATAAACAACGTGAAAAATCTAGAAAAAGTAATAAATAGAAAAGATGGAATTTGATCACTATGTGAAAAACTTGAGCAAATATAACGATATTAGATGTCACTAACACATTGAACATATATTAAATTCAAAATTACAAAAAATAGTATTAAATTGTAAATTACAAAAAAATTAAAAAAATAAAAAAAAATTGGAGATGCGGGGGTTCGATCCCCGAATGTCATACTCAAAGCCAAATGAGAATACAGTTGAGCAACATCTCCCTTTGTTTTATACTAAACGATTTTTTCCCTATATGAATGTTAAACATAAATTTAATATAAAATAATGTGATGAAATATTTTAAAAAATAAAGTTTTAAAAAATCAATCACTTTTTTAAGTCTTCGACATTGTTTTTATTTTCCACTAAAATGTATTTTTAGTGCAATTTATACTAATTTGCAGTAATAATTTTTCAAAATAAAATAAAATGTTATGTAAAAAGTTGTTATATTAATATATATAAATATATTGACGATGTAAAATGTCAATAAGAGCATGTGATTTTAAAATCATTATATTTACAATTACCTAACATATCCACGATACCTATATTAAAATCATTTAGCATACTTGTAAATAAGTATTGCAAATAAAATTAAATAAACAAAGTGAAAAATCTGGAAAAAGTAATAAATAGAAAAGATGAATCCGATCATTATGTGAAAAACGTTGGGAAAATATAACGATATTAGATTTCACATACACATTGAATAAATATTAAATTCAAAATTACAAAAAAAAATATTAGATATTAAATTACAAAAAAAATATATATTTGGAGATGCGGGATTTCGATCCCCGAATGTCATACTCAATTCCAGATGATAATACCGTTGAGCTACATCTCCCTTTCATTAATACCAACCGATTATTTTCC